GGTAACAGCTGCAGACAGACAGGTAACAGATGCAGACAGACAGGTAATAGCTGCAGATAGACAGGTAACAGCTGCAGACAGACAGGTAACAGCTGCAGACAGACCGGTAACAGCTGCAGACAGACAGGTAACAGCTGCAGATAGACAGCTAACAGCAGCAGACAGACAGGTAACAGCTGAAGACAGACTGGTAACAGCAGCAGACAGACAGGAAACAGCTGCAGATAGACAGCTAACAGCAGCAGACAGACAGGTAAAAGCTGCAGACAGACAGGTAACAGCTGAAGACAGACAGGTAACAGCAGCAGACAGACAGCTAACAGCATCAGGCAGACAGACAGGTAACAGCTGCAGACAGACAGGTAACAGATGCAGACAGACCTGTAACAGCTGCAGATAGACAGCTAACAGCAGCAGACAGACCTGTAAGAGCTGCAGACAGACCGGTAACAGCAGCAGACAGACAGGTAACAGCTGCAGATAGACAGGTAACAGCTGCAGACAGACAGGTAACAGCTGCAGATAGACAGGTAACAGCTGCAGACAGACAGGTAACAGCTGCAGACACACATGTACCTTGGCCTTCATGTAGACGTTGTGCCCGATTATTCTGGTGCTGTCAAACATGTCTTCTCCTGGTCCAAACGCTTTACACTCCTTAGTCTGACAGACACAACGTTGAGCTCATTGTGAGGCAAACCTTTGGAAGTGTGTGTGTGTGTGTGTGTGTGTGTGTGTGTGTGTGTGTGTGTGTGCTCACCCCTCCCACAGGACAGGAACTGTTCAGATAGTCGCAGGGCAGCCCAGTGTTCATACAGTGAGGTCCTTTAATGTTTGGACTGGCATCTCCGAGGTTACTGGAGGAAAAACCAGCAACAAAACTTCCCTGACAACAAACAAACAGTTAAATGACTGATGATGGATGAATGTGTCGACATCCATCCGTCCATTATCTTTTACCCACATCTTCCTTTTTGGGTGGCGGGGGTCACTGGTGCCCATATCCAGTTATCTGGGGGTTTTGTTGGGTGCCGTAGCGCACAGAAACCCCATCGTATAATGTTTGACGTTAATGTGAAGGTTTGGGATTCCTCTTTTTAAATATTTATCTGGAATTCCTGATGAAATTACTCTGGACCAACAAAAATCAAACCAGCACCCTCGTAAACAAAACTAGCTTATTGCCAGGTGATAAAGAGTAAATAAAACAGAAATAAAAACCTGTTTGTGTGTGTTAGCAAAATATGTGATGAAACAATGGGTGGATTTTAATTCAATACATTTGTATAAAACTATGGCCTGAAAGAAGGCTAGTGTTATACACTTTAAGTAATGTTTCAGTTTTATTTCATGTCAAATCATGTTTTCTGTTATAAAAATAGCGGCTAAAGTTTGAAAAACTATTGTCCTTTCAAACTCTTTCTAACTGAAGTGTGGTCTGGACCACTGCGAACATCTGATCTGCTTCTCATTTCAGTGGTTTGTTGGTCAAATGATCCCAGCGTAACGTTTATTGGATATAAAGCAGCGTTTGTGTACCTGTCCAGGTAGCTCTCCGCGGTTCTTGTCCTGCTCCAGCAGGTAGGAAGCATAGCCCATATTATCACTGCTCACCATGCGGTTGGTGTAGTTCATGCTGACGGCGTGGACGGCAAACCAGCTGTGACAACAAATAATAATGATATTGATAACAATAATAATAATAACTCCATTACTGTAAAGTATTAAAGTATTTTCCATCAGTTAGAGGATAAAGTAAATAAAAGTGTTTAAACCTGTCTAAAAGTAATATTTCAGTTAAAAATGGAAAATTAAACAAATAATTCATTCAACCTTTATTTCTACAGGTTAGTCCCATGGAGCCTCGAGGACTCATTGACAACAGTTTAAACAGTGTGATGACAACAAAGACAACAATAGACAGTCATAAAATAGGCATACAAATTTAAGTTTCTCCTTTTTTTTTTTTACAAAATAGCAACCAAAAGGACAATTAAGAGGAATAGTAGCAAAAAAACATCTAGATTCTAAGGTTAATGTATAAAACTAAACACAGGAACATGTCTGCATCGGTCCCTGCCAGGAGTCCAACAGATTCTTAAAGCCACTTAGAGAGGTCAAAGGTCGAGAGCTTCAAATCTTTTTACAAGATATTCCAGGAAACAGGAGCGGAGGAGGAGAAGGTCCTTTTGTCTAGTTCAGTCCTCACTGAGGGAACACTGCAGGTAATGATGTCCTGAGAGCGCACGCTGTAGCTGCACTCACACAGAGACATGTAGGAGGTATATAGGTATATAGAGGTAAATAATGTTTTCAAAGTGCTAACATTTGAAGTTTTGAGTATTCATGGAGAAGATTAAGTGTAACTGCGATTAAAACCATATAAATAAATAAAACTCAGTCATTTTACCAGAGACCAAGTATTTTAGAAATAATCTGTTGTTACAACTTTTCTAACAACAATAGAAAGCTGGAAATTTGATGAATTTCTAGATTAAAGTCTTTCTTCTTAAGTGCCTTCAGACTCCTAAGCAGATAACTGAAAATTAAAAACATGTTAAGACATCACTTTATTGCACATTTTATATTCTTTGCTCAGAAAAACACATTTCCAGCTGCTGTCACGACGATAAACCTACAAAAACACATTGATGGTTGAATCTAATGAGCGGGGAATAGTTCTTCAAATGTTAGTTTTTACCTGATCATACCAATTCCATCTCCATCCAGATCTGTAAACTTCAGCACCAGCACCTGTTTGTCTGTGTTCCACTTATACCTGAAGAGATCAATACCAGAACTAATCAATAACCAGTAATACCAGCACTGATGTGTTGAAATGTAAAACAGGCAGAGTTGGGACCAGAATCTGTTACTGGTCTTTGATGCTAGTCATTGGCAGATGAAGTTTGGGGCTGCGGCTCCAGACTTCATGTTTATTTGAACACAGTTTACAGTAAGAGCCCACAGACAGATGTTTACCACAATAAATAAACAATAATAATAATAATAACAGAAAATGTGTTGTACCTGTTTCTCTCCTCCTTAGGGTTGTTCAGGTAGGAGTGAGGACTTCTGTTCAGGCTGCTGTCTTCCAGCTCACCTTTGTTCCTGTAAATCCTGCCGGGCCTCATGTTGCTGTGGGCTATGTCTATACTCTGGAAACAAGAATTAGTACAACGGTTGTAAATTAAAGAATGCAACAACACAACCCTACTGTACAGATCATTACGTGTTGACAACAGTTTGTCACACAGCTCAGGGACAACAAATCAACTCAGTAAAAAATAAAAATGAATGGCATTATGAAAACTAACATAACTGTCGAGACGATCATCAAAGATCTACCTGACTTCAAACGTTATGATTTTTATTACTCTGCTGGCAGATGAATTGTCTTTTTAGGGATTACAGTTTTCTCCAAAAGTCACAATATTTGGATGCAACATGTGGAGCGAGAGGCATAATAATGTGTTATGTGTTGTCTTCATTGTATGTTCCCATACAATGGTGAAATTAGTTCTCTGCATTTAACCCATCCACCACCAGGTGGAGCAGAGCCCGGGGAGCAACTGGGGATGAGGTGTCCTGCTCAGATACACCACAAGATGTGCGATGACTGGGGATCAAACCCAGGACCTTCGGGTCCTGAGTCGACTGCTCTGCCTCTACATGTTGGTATTTTAAGAGTTTCTGTTGTTAGGCTGGAGAAAATGGTTCAACTGAAGCAACTCGCACGAGTTTCTCATAAAGATACAAAAAACTGACTAATATGAACCAAAACTCTCTTGGTGGTACAACCTAAATCCAACAGGAAGCCCACCAGTTTAGAAACCATTTGAGGGCTTCAAACACAATTGAACGTGATCAAGGTAAGTTTAGGTTTAGCCCTGGCCTTAAAACTGAAGATGTTAAAACTTCATGAGTAGGATTTGACTTCCAAAACAAAGTATAAGTGCTACATGTTGTCATCATTGCATGTTCGCGTACAAAGACGAATTTAGCTCTCTGCATTTAAACCATCACACCTGGGATGCACCCAGGTGGAGCAGTGGATAGCTATTGAGCGCCGAGGAGGCATATTAGGGATTAGGTGTCTTACTCAGAGACACCACAACATGTGGGAATGACTGGGAGTCGAACAAAAACTTTCTGGTCCCAAGTCGGCTGTCCTCCCTCTACCCCATCCTGGCCCCATGACTTCAAAAACAACGTGTTTGAGTTGTTCTGAAAGCATTTGGGTTCATAACCGACCTGTAGGGACGGTCCAGGTGCTCACACAAGGACTGTACCACCTGTAAGGACAGTCCAGGTGTTGACACAAGGACTGTACCGCCTGTAGGGACAGTCCAGGTGTTGACACAAGGACTGTACCACCTGTAGGGACAGTCCAGGTGTTGACACAAGGACTGTACCACCTGAAGGGCCAGTCCAGGTGCTGACACAAGGACTGTAACACCTGTAGGGATGGTCCAGCAGTTGACACAAGGACTGTACCACCTGTTGGGACGGTCCAGATGTTGACACAAGGACTGTACCACCTGTAGGGACGGTTCAGGTGTTGACACAAGGACTGTACTACCTGTAGGGACGGTCCAGGTGTTGACACAAGGTGTACCACCTGTGGGGACGGTCCAGGTGTTGACACAAGGACTGTACCACCTGTAAGGCCAGTCCAGGTGCTGACACAAGGACTGTACCACCTGTAAGGACAGTCCAGGTGTTGACACAAGGACTGTACCACCTGTAGGGCCAGCCCAGGTCCTGACACAAGGACTGTACCACCTGAAGGCCCAGTCCAGGTGCTGACACAAGGACTGTACCACCTGTAGGGACAGTCCAGGTGCTGACCAAGGACTGTACCACCTGTAGGGACACTCCAGGTGTTGACAGAAGGACTGTACCACCTGAAGGGCCAAATCCAGGTGCTGACACAGGGACTGTACCACCTGTAGGGAAGGTCAAGCTGTTGACACAAGGACTGTACCACCTGTAGGGAAGGTCCAGGTGTTGACAAAAGGACTGTACCACCTGTAGGGACAGTCCAAATGTTGACACAAGGACTGTAACACCTGAAGGGCCAGTCCAAGGGCTGACACAAGGACTGTACCACCTGTAGGGAAAGTCCAGGTGCTGACACAAGGACTGTACCACCTGTAGGGAAGGTCCAGGTGTTGACAAAAGGACTGTACCACCTGTTGGGACAGTCCAGGTGTTGACACAAGGACTGTACCACCTGGAGGGCCAGTCCAAGTGCTGACACAAGGACTGTACCACCTGTAGGGACGCTCCAGGTGTTGACACAAGGACTGTACCGCCTGAAGGGCCAATCCAGGTGCTGACACAGGGACTGTAACACCTGTAGGGAAGGTCCAAGTGTTGACACAAAGACTGTACCACCTGTTGGGACAGTCAAAATGTTGACACAAGGACTATACCACCTGAAGGGCCAGTCCAAGTGCTGACACAAGAACTGTACCACCTGTAGGGAAGGTCCAGGTGCTGACACAAGGACTGTACCACGTGTTGGGACAGTCCAGGTGTTGACACAAGGACTGTAACACCTGTAGGGAGGGTCCAGGTGTTGAAACAAGGAATGTACCACCTGTAGGGACGGTCCAGGTGTTGACACAAGGACTGTACCACCTGTAGGGACGGTCCAGATGTGGACACAAGGACTGTACCACCTGTTGGGACGGTCCAGGTGTTGACACAAGGACTGTACCACCTGTAGGGAGGGTCCAGGTGTTGACACAAGGACTGTACCACCTGTAGGGACGGTCCAGGTGTTGACACAAGGACTGTACCACCTGTAGGGACAGTCCAGGTGTTGACACAAGGACTGTACCACCTGTAGGGACGGTCCAGATGTGGACACAAGGACCGTACCACCTGTTGGGACGGTCCA